TTCCGGTCAGCCTGCCAAAGGCTTGTTGAGCCCTACTCGTATAGGAACTTCAGCTAACCCGCCACAAACTTTCGGACACCCATGGACATGAAATTAGGCTCAAGTCTGTCGGAGGTATCACCCGCACAAATTTGCCCGAACTCCGCTGTCCCGAATAGTTAGCTTTTATAAGAATTTCGCCTTCAGATATATCACTCCGTCAGAAATGTTGTAGAATAAGTTTTTTCATAAAAATCGTGCCATCTGGACTTTTGTGGATGTACAATACTACAGGTTACTGTTTAACTGTTACGATCCTAAACACTCTGTGTACATTTTATTTCCGATCGGTGGTGTGTGTCGGGTGCCGCGTCCATAACAAAACATACGGTGCTGACTTTCACAAATGGGGTTCTCAATTCGTTCACAACGTACTTCCAACAGCCGAGAATGTGAACTGGTGCTGAATAGAAGCCCTGAGCTCATTTACTCGACCTCTCTAATGTTCAACTATTTATGGGTACTTCGTTTACGTTTCACGCTGCGCGAGAATTTTTTTGCAGGAAATTTTCAAATACAGGCTCATAGTGGTGACGCGTCTGTAGGTATACCATTGTCAAGAAACATCCAACTGGAAAGCTATTGAATTCTGGACGACAATTGTTTTCTAACAAAATATCGTTATTACCCGAGTAGTTTAATGGGCAAAATTTTTAAGCAGACTGAGGAAAACCTAGTGTTAGCATCAGAACGCATGGTTTTAGAACTGAGACTGTTAAAGCTTCTACCGTTTGTATTTTTCCGTAAAAATTCAGGCTTCACTTCTGCCGATGCATTGTTTATTTTATTTTGTATTCGATTTTGTGGCGGGTGACTCACCAGGGGAGTAAGTGACCTAGAAAAGAAGTATAACAACACTACTTAGTAAATTTAGATAGGTTGACAACTGCCGCCCCATTAGATGAGGACCTCGAGACCCAACTAATAAATGTTCAATGACATCGATAGACATGGTTCAGTCAGTAGGGCCGTGCATCAAAGCTGTCGTCTTCAGTGCGTAGCTGTCCAGTTTCCCTGAATCGTGCCGTCGCCTAGAATGTTCGGCTACATCTACCACGCTGTCTCCTTTCAGGCAGCTGAAGTCAAAACACCTCTGGTTTATAGGAGATAACATGACTGACTTGAGGTAACTTCTTTATTGAGTAAAAAGTCGAACCACTTAGTCCATACTTGAACTGAAGATGTCATGGACTAACTGCATGATGGAACCTTGCATAATCTGACTGTACTGATCAGCTGTATTGGCCCAGTTTCGTCCACATAATTTTACTTTATCCACAAAGAGGTGATTGCCTGTCACTTATCTTCAGACCCCCCTGTTCCTTGGTGGCTCTCCTCGAAATACCGCACCAATGAACACTCGTCTGGATCAACTATGATCCGCCCCTCATTTCTTTCAAATAATCAGCAAAACAGTGCATCTGGCCAACATGACAGAATTTTGATGGATGCATTCTCATGAGTGGCAAGCAGTTGCTTTTGCTGCGAAGATGTATAGCTATTACCTGAGGCGTACAGAGCAATCCGATAATGGTAAAGGGGGAAAGTTGTTGCGACATAGCTAAACCATACAATAAACACTTAGTTTTATGCCACCTTTCTCATTTACCGTATAACACAGCACAAAAACCACTAAGAAGTATGACTGCAGCTGCAGAAAAGTGGTGATCAAGTCTATGCTGTTCCTAAAGCGAACGCTTACTGAAAGTCGGCCACGTTTGCTTAGCTACCAGAAGGAAAGGTACCTAAGAATATAACATCGAACGAACGAGGAAGCTGGTAACGTCAAATCGCGCAGGATTGATGGCTGAAATCTTTTGCTTTTAGTTTGATACTGAGCACAGGAAAGTCAACCAAAAGGGCTGAAACCATCAACCATTGGTGTATGCAACAAGCCAGAATCCTGTAAGGTTGTTGGGATTGATCGTACTAAAAAGGTAGCAGATAAGTACTTCTCGCGACTACGGCTGAGATAAGGTGATTCACAGAAGTCAAATAAGTTTATTCCTCGGTCACGCGCAGAAGCGGTCGCCCGAGCAGCTGTCTAAACTGAGATCAAACTGGACATCGAGAAGTTGGATAACAGATGAGATGGACCGAGTGGCAATTATGGGGGCGGTCGACAGCGTTATCCAAAACCTGCACACAGTGGACGGGCACTAGTCAGTCTACATAAAACAGAAAGAGCTGACCTTATTTGGAAGTGCTAAATACGATACGGTAGCGTCGCAAAAAGTAAAACATTACGCTCAGTATTAGTGCGATTTAGGGCCCTGTCAGCTGAGAGGCCTGGATGCTGCATACATAAAATTGAATGCAACGGGTGCATAATGACTTGTATCAAACAAAGATTAGGATCGATGAGCGTAAGAACAGACAATGAATATTGGACACAGGAGAGACATGCACATAGAGGAAGAAAACAGATTATATGCAGAAAATGTGGAGGTTCTGAATCAGGGACTACGATTCACACTACCGACATCGAACATAATGCGGTGACAATTACCGCACACCATAGTGCGAATAAAATAGAGGCCGCAGAGCTGGCAAGCATGTGGGAAGCAGTTCCTAGTAGGCTGTGTCAAGTGGCGGTGTGCCATCATCAATCAAGAAAAGTCATCACCAGGAGTTTTGACCTTAAATGGGAAGGCCCAATCCGAGCAGAACTCGTAACGTCTCTCAAAAACTGTTGTAGCACTTATTTACCCACATGGACGGAAAAATTTCGAAAACGGCACTAGACCAAATGACCTGAACCAGAAGAACCAGGGCATAAATTCAGCTCAGATTCATGTAGGCTTCCTTCCTAGTCTAGCGATATTATAAAATGCAATCGTTCACGCTTACAAAATTCTTAGCAGGTTGGTTGTAGGCGATCTTGCCGATTGATTCAGTCAGTCTTAAAAGGTCACCCAGACTCAGAAGCCAGTTACTCCGCCTGGCATGGCCCTGGTAGCAAGGCGACATTTTGCTCAACAATAAATCAGCAAATTCCCTTTGAAATGCTGTTAGTAGAAAGGATATGTTTTTCGTAATACAATACAGCCACCACAAGTACGATGCGGATATGGCTGACCAGATGCTTCAGAGTTTGGTATTGTGAGCAGCGAGGATGAAACGTACTCAAACCTTCGAAAAACGTCGTCTTGGGACCATAAGTCATGCCAGCAAATCCACGAGACAATTGGAAAGCGAGTGTTTGGTCAATCCACAAGGATTTCAGTCAAATGATGTGTGCTGTCGGTGATAATATATATCTTCAAACTGAGCTCGGACATTTACTGAATGCGTGCTCTCTGGTGATACACACAACTGCGATCCAATGGATAAGGCTTCTTTTTTCTCAGTGGGTGGCATCAATATTGGTATCATAGTAGTGCATGGAAAATTTACCATTCCAAATGTATTTCTTAAGCAGCAATGGACGATGAGCATGCACAAGGGTATAATTTCCACACAGGCGTTGGCACTGCCAGTGATTTCCCGAATGAAACCTCCAGTTTGACGAAGTGAACGTTGGTCGTGACTAGATATCAGTTGGTTACCACGCACATACTATAGGTGTGAAATGAGCAAATTTTGGCATTTTTTCGTTGACGAACATGCCTTCTGAGACTTTTGGATGGATATTTGGCCGGATCTTGTCAAGCCATTTGGTGTTGTATCGATCAAGACCGGTGTCTTCTGTTGTGTAAATTAATAATGCTCACTGCATAAACTGAGCACCAATACTTTTCAATGAGGGACCATTTTGTTCACCCAGTATTCCCCTTGGAAAGCGGTAAATATAACATTACCTGAGAGGGAGTCATCGATAGTTCGATCAACCGTTTGCGTGAATTACTGTCGAAATTATTCGACACTATCTTTGCTGGTAATACAGAAGTCGAAATCACATCTTCATTTGTGAAAAGCCCGATTAGCTATGCACGCCATCATTGACGACCAATACCACTGTCCCTAACTTCCTCTTAGTTGCTGTTATGTTTTGGTGAACGGCATCGACTTTTCAGCAAAGAGAAATAAATTGGTAATTGAGTGCTCTGCTGTGGTTGCTTACAAGAACTCACAAGACTATGCTTATGGAACGCAGGAATTTATGGAACCGCATCGACAACCTTTCAGTTCGTACTCTTAAGTGAGTTGAGGTTCTAGGGTCTTCAATGGTAAAGTAATCGAAGTTGCTATCCAGACTTATTCAATATGGTCCCATTTGTGACTGAACTATTTTAGCCAAGACCCGACGATGGCATTAAGCAGGATATTCACAGGGCAACACTGACCTGAAGCAATCCACAGGTTCATTAGAGAAGATGCAGTCAGAAGAATCGTACTACAAGTTCGGATGTGAAACATGCTAGGCTCTAATCCTTTGCGGTTTGTTTCAGGCGTCTGACTGATCTACCTTCTGGTGTAAACATTGAAGCCGCTAATACGCATACGCCCTATAGGTCTACAAAAAACACGGGAGTGGTGCGGCTGAACTACAAAAGTGGCAAAGTCAGATTCTTCCTGACTGACCAGACGAGGGATCCCTATTATTATCTGTGTGCTACTTAACCGAGTAGTGTAAGATGGAGGGCTCTAACCCAAGCACCTGACAAGACAGAACCCAAACCCGGTCACGGTGATGAGGAAAGAAGGGAAAGCGATGGAGATTCACCTAACGATCGTAAGTTAACAGCGAGTCCCTGCGCTTGTGCTTGCACTACGTACCACTGAGCTTGCACGGTGGCACTCGCTTCCGGTCTAAAGTATACCACTCTGTTGCTCACATGACGTTTTCTGATATCATCCGCAAGTTGGTACTATCCAGGTGTTTCAGTTGGTCTGTTAAAAACATTGCAAAAGCCCGATGTACACAAACAGGAGAAAGAGCAAATCCATGAATTTATTACACTGCTAGTGCCAAAACACGAATAAAAACCTGAAATAATGTACAAATAAAACTTCGAAGATCACAGTTCCTCGCTGCCATGTTCAGCCGATACAGTGGTGAACTCAACAGTGATTCCATTCAACTCATAACCACCTTTATTCCCAATGTTTTTCACTGACGGGTAAAATTTAACTTCGAACAAAACAAGCTTACCAGCACCGTCTGTCTTGTCGAAAGTAAAATCCGTCTGAGGCAAAGTCCGCTTATCGTTATTCTATAATAAGAAAAAAGCATAAGTAATGGCGTGGCGCATACCCAAGCAGTCCCTGAGAGAACATCGCTCTTAGGATCTGCTCTGAGCAGGAAGGAGTAGAACATCAGGTAACTGCGGCGTCCACCCTCTCGCTCAACACGGCAACCGAAATTCAAATCATCTCTGATTTTAAAAAGGGTCAGCTGCCACATCTTCATCATGCTCACGAGTAAAGCGTGATAAACTCACCTCATTTGTCCCACCCTGACAGCTATATGTAAATTCGCAGCGGACGCCATACTAAGTCTGCCGTGATATTTGAAGTTACATTAACGCACCCTTGAAATAGTTTCGGTGTGTGGTTTTCCGTCTATCAGAGTAGAAAACTGATTTACGGCCTTGTCTGCCTCTTCTCCAATCACTAATACGAAGAGAAAACACAACCCCAAAAGATACATATTGTGCGGGTTTACGTGTATCGTTTTAAACGCGAGTACCTTGGGGGTACTGTAGTATGCCGTGTCTGCCAAATTGATTGATTTATATGTGACACCTTGCTTACTGGGCTTTGTCTCATGAGCTTTCTTTCTGTTTTCCATCCACAGAAATTGGGGTGAACACCTGCCTCCAGAGAACCACTGCCCCCTGGTGTTTCCATAGCGTGCTTACTACGGGTACAAACAAGCTATGGCAATTCAGTGAACGGAACTCGTGTCCCCAGATGGCCGGATGTAGAACACTGATCGAAATTATTTCCAGATTCATAAACAATTTACTTCAGCTCGGATTTCAGACATGTTCGAACTTGCATGGAATCTTGCTGGAGACTTGCTCGGCTTGTATGCGAGCAGGAAGCCGAGGGTTCGATTCGGTTCTGTTTATGGATCCTGATTGTATGTCTGAAAGAGCAAAAGAAGGAAAAGAGGTTTCACCACCTATGATGGTGGTTTCTGAGGGGTTTTCGGTAGATTTGTACCTATCAAACCGATGCGGTCGTGCAAGTTGGTGGAAGAATTCTTTCGTTGATTGCTCTATTTACAGAGTTAGCTTGTGTCATGTTGTTAAATTTTTACTCCAAAATAACCTGCGCGTGAATGCCTCTGTCGGATTGCACTGCGTTTCAGCGATACATCCACTTTCTGTCATTAGCCTAATCATTGTTGACCAATCGCTAGAGCTATGGGTGGGCCACGACAGATGCGGACGAGATGGATGTCCGTGAGATATAGGACGGGGACTGCGCTGTCGAGCCTGCCGGGCCTGATAGCATTTTGAATGTACGGGTTTGCAGGGCGACCAGGTAAACCTATTATCTAACTCTCCTAACCTGCATGTATTCGTCGGCTAACTTCTACCTCAGGAGTGCTGTGCATTCCACAACTGACAGGACAGCTATAAAAAAGACGAAACAAACTCACCACTTCTGAGTGGAAAAGACCGATGCGAATGTTCTGTTCCAGTCGGGAATTTTGAGAAAACACGGGTAATTCTTTCAAAAGCTCTAAAAGAAAAACCTAAAGAACAAAATGAGCCGACTGAAACTGATAACGATTTTTCCTTCCCGAAGGAGTACCTAGCTATGGGGCGGCATTAAAGACCGCCTCGGCGTCTATACTGGACAGGCGTATGAGGGAGAGCAGGCTGATAGCTGGGAGCCATTCTTAAGAAGAACCAAGCACCAAAGCTTGTACTCACTTCTTATTGGTGTTGTTACAAAGCTTGAGTAAGAATCTCTTCGCGCAGAGTTGTCAAGCGGAAAAAGACGCAAGCAAACACCTGGGCTTCTAGTCACCCTTTGCTCCCCGAATGCCGTACAGAGTATCTTGTGGCGTGATGTCAGCATTCAAAAGGTCTACCCAAAAATCAAGGGTTTATCCGAGGATCACCCTCTAAAGGCGCGAAAACTAGGCCACGGAAATCGTAGAGGAAGGGCGCGAAATAAGTTTCCGTTTGACCACAGATCAGCCGACCCAAAACCTTCGGCCAATGCGATGGTAGTTATGGAGAATTGTTCCCTAAAAAGCACGCCGACACAACTGGCCGTCACTCCGGATTACTGTTTCTAATCAACCGCTACAGCCTCGCAACTGCAAACAACAGCGACACTCGTGGAGAGGCGTGTCTGCCATAGACGCGGCGTCCCAAGAATGCAAAATTTTCCCCGCTTGTTTACTTGCTGAGAGACAAAGGCCCACCGGCCAAATCTACATCTAAGCTACAAGCTCTAAACTGGATCCGGTCAGCCGTGCAGAGACAAACAGAGAAGTCCACTGGCAGATCAACCACGAGCCTTGAACTCGACGTTGGGGGTTTCTGAAAGAGCCCCACAAACACTGAAGTGGCCAACCCACCAGCCCTTAGCTCCACTCCGTTGAAAGCGGCTTTTTCGATTGTGGGCACTGTCGTCACTCATGACCCCGATAGCCAAAGCCTAAGCTTCATCACCATCGAAGACTGTAACAGTAGCGTTGACACTAACGCTTCACTGCCGTACCAGAAATGACCTTGTCGAAAATGCTCGCGTACGCTGAGTTAGCCACGCTGGTCACAAAAAGATAGCGAAAGCGGTCAATCAAGCCGCGTAAACTTCGCCTAATCGAAAAGGTGTTGGCGATATCCAGGGTGAATTCTTCTAAAAAACAAGCCTCTTGGTTTGTCACCGCATGTATCAACCCTTCGTGAGGTCAACCAGCACACAAGTGACCCGGGAGGACCTCAGGAAGACAACATGCACGCCACACTGTGCAAGAAAGTCCAAGGGACCATACGCTTGCTTATTCACCGCAACCAAACAACAACAAATCCGGACATCCAGTAGTTGGTATTGCACGAGTTACATTTGGCGGCCGTTGAAATCTTCAACCACGAGAAAGTAAACAACATCTTTCCAATGCAAAAGCATGCGCGAACCGGACTGCCAAGTGGCGCAAACTCCAAGCAAACGAAGAACATTTCTCAGGACCACCAAGGCGGGATGCAGGCAAGTACGCCGCAGAGGCCCATGTAAGGCCCTGGACTGAAAACTGGCGCACAACTTTCTGGTATACTATGCTCTGGGGTAGCGAATCCTTCGACACCACTCCTTCTGACACTGCCTGAAAGGCGGAATTCTGAACGGATCCCTCTTCACCACTCGCAGTCGGGGTTGCCATGGTCGAAAACCCATACCGCGCAAGATTAGTGGAACCTTCGGGACCTTTGCCGATGCGGTATCAAGCCGAATTTTGATTAACCGAATATCCGGACCCGACAGCCAACCATGACTCAGTATTGACCGAATGCCGGTTGATAATGACGTATCCAGAAGGCGTCCAGATGTAGAGAAACTTAACGCCGCTTGCAATATATATGAACCGCTGCACAAGGGCTCTTGATTTCGTTTTGGGCATTATTATGCGTCGTCTACCTTTGGTTGTCTTGCTGTAGATGTTAGCTTGAGAAACGAGAACCAAGCTGAGTAAAATACGGTTAATACGGTGGCTCAGGCTTTCCAACAAACTTCGTGATACTGAACAGTCAGCTTGCTTTAAACAACCGTCCATTAATCGCGCTTACATTGGCCCTCATCACCACACATGTCTCTGACGTGGAGATCTCGGTAGACGGCTACTCCGTTTTCCGAGCTGACTTGAAACGTGGGAAGGCGGGTGGGGCTACTTTATATTTACATCTGACCCTGCCCATTCTGATTGTCCTTCCCAACATCACTTCTGCACCTGTTGTAATTGACTTCAAATCCCGCTGCGTGAGACCGATACTCTTCTCCCCGAATTGGCCTAGCGTTGCTACGGGAGTCTATCGGGAGATGACCAATTCTTCATAGTTCCTCATACAAACTCTTGGTTAGCTCTCCTCCTGCTACCACTACACACAGCACCTGCTGGTATGTAATTTTAACACTTTCAAAGCTTTCTTGATGGAACCTCAGCGCATCGGGCCTATTGGAGAATTTTCATGGACTCTAACCAAACTCGCTCAACAGAACGCTTGGCTTTAACATGTCGCCGTACCCACCAGGTAGCGGATGTGCCACCTACAATCTTTTCTGGATTACATTATCGTTAACGACAGACACTTCGTCGATCGGGTTTTATTTAACACGTTACTGGAACATACTGACCACTACGGACTGATTTTTGATTTCATCTACTGCCGGGTCAAAAATCCGAAATTTGAAACGTGGATTCAGGACTTCCGCGGTTTATAATTCCAAGAAAGATGTGGCTTCCACAACCAATCAAAGCTAGGAACACTTCAGTGGAAGACACGTAAATGACCACTGTCCAGAACATTCACGAGGCCGACGATGTGTTCTTCCCAAAAACCAACGCATATTTGAGGAGGTAATAAGCTGTCTAATAGGATTCGGCGTTTTATGGAAAGGAGGCCTCAACCGTTTTTCCAAATTTTGTACAAAGAGATGGACTGGCATTTTACAAAATGCGGAACCGCTATAAATCAGAACTCCTCCAATGAATCTACGGAGACAAACCACTACTCTTGGCTTTGCCAGGAAAAACAGAAACTTGCTGTTTGAAAACGTGAGGCGTCGCCGCAGAAAAAAGCCAACCACGTTCCCTTCGAGGAACAAAAACGGGGAACCCATAGGTGACCCTATTGTGATATCTGAATTCTACATAGAACACTATGCTGGTGTATAATCAGCCGTAGCATCCTCGTCACATCCAATTTTGTTAAGGCACAACTATGACGGCCTCGAAGCGGCTTGGTCTCCAAGGCGGAGGAAATTCATCATCTCTTACACAAGGTCAACCCGTTCTTCGTGTTGAAGCCGGAAGAAGTTCACCCAAGTTTCCTAGAGGAAACGTCGTTCGCACTTGCAGAAAATTTTTATATTGTGTTTTGGTAGTCGCCCGACTAAGGCCACTTTTCGTTTGCGTGGAAGGAAGCGATTGTCATGCCATTCTACAAACCTGGTGACTAAATATCGCCCGGCAGCTACAGGCTTCACCGGCGTGGCTTGCAAGGTGATAGAAAGCAGTCTGAAGTGAGCTATTCTGCATAACTTTACTGTCATCAATTTGATTTCCCCAGTTCAACATAGATTTTCCCAAATCTTTTTTGCCTGGCGAATGTTCTCGTAACTATGGACAACTTAACCGAAGCCACGGACGAGAGACTTATATCTGATGCATATATTTTTATTTCTCCATTCAATTTAATTGAGACCCACACGTCCCACTGCTCCACAAACTCGAGTCTTAGGGGATTTAAGGGTTATTTCTACACTAAATTAAGGTATTTCTATCAGATGGAACATTCAGAGTGAAAGTAGGCTCGACGTACTTTTTCCGGCGCCGGTAATCATTGGAGTTCCCCAAGACCCTGCTTTGAGACCACTGCTGTTTCTGCTATACAAGCTTCCAAGCTTCATACAAGACTATTACTACTCTTTGCGGACGATCTAAAATCCTGGAGATTGAAGGCCAGTGCCCTC